GATTTATTAATCTGAAAGCATCGGCATAATTCCATTCATTTGCTATTAAATTTGTTAAATCGAAACGTGGTTCTTCCCATTCAGATACTTTTCGTATTTCAACAATTTTATCTTGATAGTAATCAGTGGCGTAGCCAGCAGGGTGGCAATTGGGCAATTGCCACCTAAATCAAATTTTATTGCCACCTAATTTTTTTTTAATGCGCGCAATGCCCATTGTCAAAAAATGTTAATACCTGTGTATACTTAAAGATTCAAGGAGTGTTTTCTTTCAATACATTTTCTCTTGATGAGATCTAATCAAGTGATTTACAAAAATCAATCTACGATCTTTTGCATTCAAAGAATGATCACAGTAATAATGATTCAATAGTATTTTCTGTCAAAATACGCTCTAATACACTTAAATGAGCTAAAGAGAAACTTGAATGAATGCTCAACGATCTCTCTACGAACATAAATCGTATTGTACAGAAACGACTGAAGTAATCTAAATTAACAGCTTTCACAATGTATGTTGCAACATGATTCTTGCACTGTTAGAGTTGAAAACGTGAATAAACTACATAGAAAATCTAAATAAAAATCGAGTGAGTGTCTAAACGACAGTGTTTTGAAAACTCATTTTAGGCATTGAAACTACTAGTAATGAAATGATAATATGTAATTTACAGGATGCGCATATGACTGAACATTGAAACCATGCAAAAAAAACTTTCATGATTGAGAATTTGTTACAGATATATGTGGAATAATGCTTGTCATTGTCCGACGTAATAGAACAAACTAACTCATGCAATTGTCCGATTAAAGAAGATAAACGAACCTTCATTGCCTGACGAAAGAAAATAAAGATGCATTGATCAATGTTTCACGAAAAAAGATAGACTGATAGCCATTGTGTCTCTACCACATATTCAGAAAAGAGATTGATTTTCTTGTTCTATTAATACTTATTTATGACTTTTTGACATAAAATACTGAAATATATGAAATCAAAGAGTACATTTCTGAAATAGTGTTTAAAAAAAGCGAGCAAATTTATCTGTTAATCCAGGATGACTAATTTCTCTTCAGTAAACAACAAATTCTGTAATGCGGATAAGTATTTAAAAAACTATTGCTCACTAGGTTTTACAATTGCCCATTGCTGCCACCTACTCAAAATAATTTAGCTGATAAATTGCCACCTACGTAAAAAATCCTGGCTACGCCACTGATAGTAATTATCTGAATAATCGTCTCTTGTTAATGAATTCATATCACCCATTAGAATATCAATGTTTTGTTGATATGGATTAAATTATTTTATTTGATTTAATCGATCATCTTCATCTAAATGATCTAAATGTGTTGCAGCAAATATTCGATCAATAAGAAATTCGTGACCACCATCTAAACGACATTGAAGTAAAGATCTTGTGGTACGTGAATATGAAAAAGTTGATGTTTTATTTGAATAAGATATGATTGGATAAGGAGATGAAATACCATTGCCAAATGGATCTTCATTGCATGATCCATAAATAAAATAAGGTAAAGAAAGACGATTACAAAATTTTTGCCATTTATCATCATTTTGTATTTCTTGAACAGCAATTAAATCGAGCTTAAGTGGTTCAAAAATCAATACTAAATCAGAAATATTACTATCAAAATTTCGAGTACGAAAAGAGTGAACATTGACTGTCGCTAAACGAAATGTCGACATTTTGCAGGTAATAAAACAACGCACCTCCTTCTAATGCGCTTTAACTTCGTTTTGCTTCTTATTTTTTCTGCGTGATGACTAATGTTTATTCTTCATTGAAGCGATAAGAGACAGATTTTTTTTCTTTCTTTTCTATTTTATTTAT